AAGTGTGATCATATGACCTGGGTTACTGAGCAACTCGTGAATGAAGAGTTTGCTCCATTCATTAAAAAAAAAAAAAAGAATGAAAGACAGGGGGGAAAAAAAGAAAAGGCTTTCTATTCTAAAGATCTCTTGTGTGTGGCAGATGGCCTGTAGACCCAGAAGAGAGGAGAGGACTGCCTGAACCGAGCCTGAAAATGGAGCCTGAAAATGGTTCCCGCAGGAGCAGCAGGGATAGATTACTATTTCTGTAGTCCCCCTCCACCCACCCCCGACCCCAGAACAGATTAGGGATATCCCATAGAGCCCATTTTAAGAGTCTTTGCTAGTGTAAATTGGTTTACTGTGCTGCTGGTAGGGGGGCAGTCTTAGTTTGTGGCAGCAAAACAGTGGAAACTTGCAGTGAAACAACAGAAACTAACTATAGTGGCATCAGGTTTTGGGAACAGTAATCCCTTTCACTGGGATTTTGTCCCGTAATTGTGAACCAGCTTCAGAGTATTATGAATTATTGGAAAGTGAAGCATTTGCCCAATTTAAATTTTAATTTTAGCTCTGAACTCACCAGGTAGCCTTCAACAGAGGCTGCTGTTTCTTACCTTCAGCCCTGTTTTTAATCTGGAGCAAATACTTTGCTCCTTGCACTTTTGCCCAATTGCCACAAATGAAGAGGTTCACATGTTGTACTCACAATGATTTTGTTCAAAAGCCACAATTCAGGTTCACACAAGATACTAAATTGTAAACTATGGCTTACAGACCACAGCAGTTGAGTTTGTATGATATGCCAAACCAAAACAAAGTCATACCATGTTGTAGTGCAAAGTTTCAACTAGTCAAAATGTATAAGATGTGCCGGTTCTTTTAGGGGGGGGAAAACTGGCTCTTCCAGCAGGCCCTGGGTCTCATGATTTGTGAATTTGCACAAGATATTTTAATTCTTTTTGTGTTTCCCTGACATGGTGTGTGTGATGTTATTGATTCCTTTCTGTTTGTTTATTATTTGACTTTAGTAGAACTATTGAAGATAACCGGGGATGGAACCTGGCAAATCTCCTGTAGGGTGTAATTCAACTTCCTGCAAAGAAAATGACCCTGGGTGATAATACAGGCCTGAGAGCTTTCCCATTGTGGACTACCCACTCCTTTTAAAACAGGAGCTGCTAAGGCAGAACTGAAATTGGGATTTGGGGCATGCCAAGCATATGGTTTCTGTTAAACTATGTGTCTCACTCCCTGGGGTAAGGTGTGATCTGGAATAAATGTAAGATAATTTGCATAACTGGCCTAGGGTGCTACACTTAATATTGGGGGGGGGGGGATGATTTCAGTTAGTGGGGGATTATATAAAGTGGGCATGGTTATGTTATGTATATAGGATTTTTCCTCTCCCTGCCTTTTCTTCTGGGGGTTGGTTGTGGGGAGAGGGGGCTGAACAGGACAGGGCTTTATCATAGAAGTTATTTTATTATTTTTATTATTTTATGAATTTGTTAACTAACATGAGTCAGCTGGAGTTGGCAGTTTAGACTTTTTTTTTTGCTTGCCAACCCGTATTGAGTTGAGAGACCATATTATCTGAACTGGTATCAGTTCCAGGAAAAATCATTATCATTCATTGTCACTATATATCGGCATTAACCAGAAGGTCATTATTTCCACCTAAGAAATTTTGGAAAAGATGTTGCAGCTGTTTTATTTTTATTTGTTTATTGTGCAAATTTATATAGCTACTCATCTACTAATGGAACTCTGGGCAGTGAACAACACCAACACACCCAAAATCCCCATAATACAGGAATCAATTATATCAGTTATCAAATTGGTATGAGAAACCAGCTCTGGATTTATCACTTCAGTCTGATACTTGGCCAGTATACAACCACACATAAATAAATATTTCTTTGTAAAAGTTTAGATCAGTGTTTCTCAACCTTGGCAACTTTAAGATATGTGCTGGTTGGGGAATTCTGGGAGTTGAAGTCCACATACCTTAAAGTTGCCAAGGTTGAGAAACACTGGTTTAGATGAAATTGTTGTGGAATTCAGAATGGAAACAAGTCGCCTTTCCTAAAGCACTGAAAAAAGGGTGGGGTGAAGGAAGGAGGCTTCCCAGTGGTAAAACAAATGCTCCTGGGACTAAAGAGGAAGATAGAAAAATAACTGATCTATTCTTATTGCTGAGAATGAATTAGGGAAAGTGTTAGGAGTGTTAGTAGAAAGTGTCAGGTCTTTAGAGACCTGATCTGTGGTTGTAACAAATAAGGTGGTTCAAAGGAGGCTTCCAGTGAAGCTAAGTTTTAATTGGTAATAGTCTCTGGACATCCATACTGTTTCTGATTGTTTGGGGTTCTGCAGATGTGCTTTTGTATCGAATCAGAATTACTCCTGAGTAATTACAAGAAGACTAAGAGAGTGACCTTATTGACTGTTTCAATAACATCTGAATAAAGGTGCTGTGCAGCACTTTTGAAAGCAAAATAGCGCTTTAAAGAACACAGGTTCTACTGGTCTGCAATTCCTTAAGTCAAACACATTTTTCCAGGATTGTGCTGAAACTGCAGAGGGAAAGTCCCAGGAAAAGATGCAGCTGCTTTAAGGAGTTGCTGACGTTTCTCCATGGGCACCCCCACATGCTCTAAAGCCTTTTTTGCCTTGAAATCCAAAGCAGATAACCTTGGGAGGAGGCTGTGGGGGTAACATAAAGAGGGGAAATGCGGACCAAAGTGGGGAGGTGATGACAGGAACTGACCAAACAGGATTACTGTGGGTTTTTCCTGGGTGTGTGTGTCAATTTTTTGTTTTTGTTTTACTTCGTTTAAGCATAACCTGCAGGATTTGTACATTTCACGTCTCAAAACGACAAAAGTTCAACATTCAGTGGAGTAGACAGATCTCCAGAGATTATAAATTGCCCACCCCTGTGAAAAATGGACAGATAGTTGCAGGCCTATAACTCATTTTGTGGAGTTAAGCTCCATTGAGTTCCTCTCTGTTCTGTGTTGATCAGACTGTTCCTAGAATATTGCATCCAGTTTGGGGCACCATATTTTAGGGAAGACATTGACAAAGTGGACCATATCTAGAGAAGACCAACCAAGCTGATAAGGGTCCTGGAAGGAAGGACTTATAAGGAATAGTGGGAGATGTTGGGTATGTTTAGCCTGGAAAAGATAAAACTGCAAGAAGACGTGGTCAGTGTCTTTGAATATCCAAAAATCAGTTATGTAGATGATAGGGGAGAATTTCTGAAGAGCTGTTGCAGAAGGACAACAAATACTGTAATGTATTTAAATTACAAGGAAATAGGTTTTGGTTGGATGTCAGGAACAATTGCTTAGAATACAAGTATTTAGCGGTGGAATAGATTCCGCCAGGAAGCGATGGTCTCTTCTCCAGTGGAACTGCTTAATCAGAGGATAGCCATCTGTCAATAGCGCTGTAGTGGATTCCTGCACAGGAGAGGGGTTGGGCTAGATGATCTTGGTACCTCCCATCCCATCCCATCCCATCCCATCCCATCCCATCCCATCCCATCCCATCCCATCTATTATTTAATAACCTATAATGCAATGGCAGTTGCTTTTCAGTAGACATGTACTGGGCTGGGCTATCAGCTTGACATCCTGAACACAGGTATAAGCTCCATTAAATTGAGACATTTTTGTAAATAAATTCATATTTTTAGATATTTCACTTGGGGCTCATCCTCCCAGCCCGTCAGTGTGCTTTCCTCCTGTTTTATGTTGACTAAAAAATTGCTGCCCCCACAACTTTGCTCTTACTCTGTCTCAAGAGCAAAGCTGGCATTATTGCTATCCTCACTATTGGCTTAGTGTGGGTTACTATCACTGCAGCTATTGGCCCAGGCTAGATGGTGCCAGTCTTCCTTGATAGCTTTCTGCGAGCACTATTTTTCCCACTTCCTGGACCACCTTGAAGGGGCATCTGTAGCAAGAGTCACTGGCTTCAGAATGGCAGGCACAACTATGCAATTGAAGCTCCATCCGTTTTTACGTGTGTGTAATGCATGTGATATACGTTAAATGGGTGGGACTTTGATCACCCAGTTGCTCCTTCTATTTTGAAGTCAGTGACTCTTGCTGCAGATGCCCCTACTGCCTTGGCACTCCTTCTACAATCATCACCCCATATCCTCTTCCTCTTGACTCTCTGGCATGCCATCTGATGAGGGAGTCCTTCACCACCTTACCCATCGCCCTCTTCTTTTTGGCAATGGGTGCTGCTCGGGAAGGGGCTCCATCAGGGATGGGCTTGCTGCTGAAACCATTCCTTCCATCTGACTCAGCAAGGAGCTACCAAAGGGAATATTGACCTTGTGGAAAGTCTTCTATGAGGCTGATACTCCCCAACCAAAGAAACAAAACCAGAATAGAATTGCCAAGTAAGGATCTGTTCTCTCCAGCAGTCAAGGGAGAAATAGCCCATAGAGCCCTGCAACGGGGGGGAGGGGATCAAAATCTGCAGCGTTTAACCCCTATGAATGCTGCTAGAACAAATGATCCTGCAATAAGCCAAGTGGAGAGCAGCTCCTCATTCTTCCAAGGCCTGCGTCTCCATGCAATATAGAATGTTCACAAAAGAGGACATGTTCCATTTTCCAACTGAAAACCAGTTTCTGCTAGATCTGGCTGACCCTGAGTTGGAGGATCCACTGTGAGGACATGTGAAGCTGTCTTAGTGGCAAACAGGTGGTGTGGATGGGCCTGATTTCAGCAAACATCCTTTCTGAGCAGAGAAAGCTTTGCAACTGTTATTTTGTGTTCGTATTATTCCAGTCCATAGTATATGGAGCTACCTTTGCAAATGGTCCAAAACTTCAGTTAGTTAAATCAAACATCTCTTGCAAATTTGCACATTAATATGTGTGTCATTTTTGTTCAGTGAAAATGCACAGTTAATTTTACCTGCCTTGCTCTCAATTTTTCATAATTTCCTCTTCCTTACTGAACTGTACTTCCTGCTTCTTTTCTGGGCACCAGAGCAAGCTCCACATGGAAGGTTTCCGCAGCTTGAAGGAAGGAGAAGCTGTTGAATTCACTTTCAAGAAATCCTCCAAGGGTTTAGAGTCCATCCGAGTCACGGGACCTGGAGGAGTTTTCTGCATTGGCAGTGAGAGGAGACCAAAGGGAAAAAACCTTCAGAAACGCAGATCAAAAGGAGATCGGTAAGGTTTGGCTCAGGCACCTGTTCAGGGATTCCAGAAACCTCTTGACTTGCAAAAAAGCAAGCAGTCCCAGAGCTTGGAAAACCAGTGAATATTCTAGGTATTGGAAGTGTAGTCATATAGAGATTGGGTTTGCGAGAATGTTTTTTTGCTATGAAAAAAAACAGTCAACTTAAATTAAGTTTGAAACTCTTTTCCATATAACCTATGTAATTTGTATGAATTTCTTGTTCCTTTTTTTCTTTCCAGCAGCTTAGCATTCTACAAAAATCCAGGTATTCTTTATTTATTTCATTATTTTGAGTCCTGTCTTACCCATAGAGTATTTAAGATGGCTAATAACCACAAAACCTTGCTTGGCCGTCTAAAGTTTCCATCAATAATCATTTTTCACCATCATCATGAGAGCTAGAAACATGTTAAATGCTAGTGGGAAGAAAAGAGATTCTTGGGCTGCCCAATGTAGAGCTTAGGGAGTCATCCTCCAGCAGGTTGTGCTGCTTCTTTGATTAGCCCAAGCCTTTTGCCTTGTCTGCTAACAGCCTAATAGGATTTTAGGCAGACAGGATTCTGATTACTGTGATCCTTTAAATTGGAGGTGTGGGGATTCAACCTGGAGTCTCCTATGGAACTCCCATCTTTCTCTGACATTCCCGCCAAGTAGTTTCAGATGCCAGATGTCTTCTTGCATGATGGGAATGGCACATGGGCATGTAGGCACAAGGGTGCAGACCTGGGAGAAGAGATGTTTGCTTTAAGGAGTGGCAGACAGTGCTCCGGGTGCGTCGTCTTGCCCTCTGGAGACCTTTTCACTTTCAGATCCAGCATGATGCGAATAGGCTATGCATATATGCTTACACAAAGACCACCACCTTGCTTAAATTAGTTACCTTAGTTCAGCTTCCCGCAGTCTGGTGCTCTGTTTGACTATATGTCCCATCATTCCCAGCCAGTTTTACTCTCCTCTGGTGGAGGCTTGGCCAGCAGTGTCTTTCTCCTTCTGCATAAGATGCTTCCTTTTGACTTTTTAAGTGAGTGGCAGATGCAGGTTTCTAGAAGGGCAACAAACGAAAAAATCAAAGTTCCCCCCCCCCCCCGCTGAAGAGAATAGACCAATGCCCCCATTCTGTGAACATGTGTTTGCAGGATGGTGCAGCATGGGCAATGGCTCATCCCTTGGGCAACCTAGGAAGAGAGGAGACGTCAGGGAGACTCCCCACAGCAATACCTGGAAGAATATGACTTACATCCTTTGTCCCCAACCAAGTGCCCTCCAGATGTGCTAAAGGTCATAGTGGCTGTGGGAGTTGCCTTCTTAACGCATCTGGAAGGCACCAGATTATTTTACACTGGCTGTATTTCTACAACACAGTTAACCAGTTACGTTACAGACCTAGCAGCTGCATTTGGCACAGTGTACTAAGCAACTCAGTTTTAACTAAGGTTAGGCTTTTTCTTTGCTAGCAGCTTGCATGAACTCAGTCCACTTGCTCACTTTATGTTTCAAGGCATGCACAGTCCCATGACATGGGGTGATTTGGGGATTAGGTAAACCTACTGGGTGAACCACAAGCTGTTAGGTTGATCCCTTAGATGGTTCAGGTTGTGGTCTACACTTGCCCTGCGATATCTTAAATGGGCACCAGATTATTTAAGAGTCCACTTATTGCACTAGCAGTAGTAGGATAATACAATTGGGAGGACACATGCATGGAACAGAGATGCTTTTATTGCCAAATTATAGCCCTGCTTGCTGAGGAATGTCCCAATGCACCTGAAGGCCAACAAAAGCCGTCTTAGCTGTCTGGTTAGGGAACCAGATGTCCACTGCTATCTCTCTTTCCCATCTTCCTCTTGCCACACCTCTTATCTTTGCTTTTCCACAAATTTGAAAAAAACCTCTTCATTAATGGCAATTGCAGAATAGGGTTCCCCTAGTGGTTGATATTAACACATACAGACTTTGTGTACTCTTTTAATTCTTTATTTCGCATGCCCTGTCTTCTAAAGGAAGCGGTAGCTTTCCATCAGCTCCACCTTGGGAGCTGAGGGGAAAAAGAGAAAGAGAGCAGAAAGACCAAAAGTCCCTCTGCTGCATAGAAGTGCCTCCTGGCAGCCACCCACTGGAAGGAGACCCCAGAGAGTGGCCCAGGAGGTGGCAGAAAGAGGGCAGAGCATAGAAGAGGCAAGTGGTAAATCCCGGCTTTGAACCTGTCTACGGCGAGGCAGCCCTATTAGAACCCTTCCTTTGCAAGCTTGACCAGGTAGGCACTGGCATGACCAACTGTGGTGATCTCCATGTTGGGAAGGAGAAAGACTCTGATTGGCCAGATGGAAGCTGTGGTTGGTTAGTGAGGGATCCTTGCCAAAGCGGGCAGGCAAGATGGTGGGGGAAGGTGATGGCAGTGGGAGAGGCCTGGGCAACAGTGGAGATCCTTCAGCAGCCTGTTGCAGGATAGAGACTGGGAGGAGTAGTGTGGTAGCATCCAACTTTCGAAGGTCTCATTGGGGGAGAGCCACTGGATTTCCCTTTACTACTCTCCCTTGAGGGAACTGCTGACGATACTGCAAGGGTGCCAACATGGGAATGAAGCCCCTTTGCCTGCTTTGGATCCAAATACCACATGTCTCTAGTCTCCCAAGTGGCCCAAGAAGGATGTGAAGGGTTGTTGTTGCTACACTACATTTAAACCAGGATCCTAAATCCTGCATTTAAATCACATCCTAAACCAGGATGTGAGGGGAACATAAGAACAATACACAGTGTGTCTTTATTAGTTGTAAGTTGGCTGTTAAAGTAGAATATTGAATAAAATGGGAATTGATTCACACCACACTGAAGCAGGGTGTGTGTGTGTGTGTGTGTGTGTGTGTGTGTGTGTGTGTGTGAAAGAGAGAGAGAGAATCTGCAAGATGATAGGAGTGTCATGGATGTTTCTTTGACTTCTAGTCTATAGCTGTGAGGTTTCCTGGTGAGATCCTGGCTCAGTGCTAACCACGATGACCCTGGGCAAATCACCTAGGATTAACATAAATTGAATGATATAATTATCTTTCTCTTTCTCTCTCTCTTTCGTTTTTGGTGTTGTTGTTTTTTCCTGGGAACATGAAAATAGCTGTGGCTTTCCTGTAACCTCCTTCCTGATTTCCCCTCCATCTCATTTTCCTCTTTTTCCCCAGATGCTACAACTGTGGTGGCCTGGATCATCATGCCAAAGAATGCAAGCTCCCTCCACAGCCTAAGAAATGCCACTTCTGCCAAAGCATTGCCCATATGGTGGCCAACTGCCCGATCAAAACGCAGCAGTCACCCAGTTCTCAGGGAAAGCCCACGTACTTCCGGGAGGAGGAAGAAATGCACAGCTCACCCTTTCTTCCTGAAACCAGGGAATGATCTCGGGAAATCAGTAGGAAATCTGCCCAGTTGACCGGCTTCAGGGCATCAAGTCAGCCAAAATGGGAGCAGTGAACAGCTTTGGCCTCCAGGCTGTGGGAAAACAAGCACTGGGCAGGAGAGCAGCAACTTTTATCTTTAGCAAAGAGAAAACTGAGTGGAGGGGAGCCCTTTCCTCCTTTTAGTGGGTGTGGACATCTGAGGATCCTATTCTTAATCAGTTCTGTGAAATTGGAAGAAAAAGCCAAAGGTACCTTCCTTAGCTTTGCTTTCTTCACCAATCCAAGTGAAGACCAAGAAAACGCAAAAACAAAAAACTGAAGTTATGGATCTCAGGATGTGTTTGTACTTGAGTAAGTGTGTGTGTGTGTGTGTGTGTGTTTGTGATTTCAATATATTGGCAAGACCACTGGAATATGTAAATCACAAACAAACAACTGGCAGAAATAGGTCCTCTCTCTAAGACAGTCCAAAGCCCAAGGAAGGAAGAGTCCTGCCTCAGATGTCAATTACATTCCAGGCCTTTGGGGACACAGACTCCCAACTGCCTGCTCCATGCTCTCTTAATAGGAAAAACTAAACTTCCTCCATTTCTATATCTGCACTGGGATTCTTTTGTTGTTAGGGAAAAGTAAGAGCCCCAGGCTTTTGGAAATGTTTGTGGGACATGAAGGAGCATCCTCCCCCCACTGCAGGCACAGGAGTCTGTGATTCCTGCCGAAACAAAGCTGGAGGCTTGGATTTGTTTATCTACCGTGTCATTCAGTGGTATAGCCATGCTCCTTCCTGCATGTGCTTGTTTGGCTAATTCAGTTGTTTAACACACAGACACACACACAGATATACATGCACAGAAACACAAATTTGGCTAATTTTTGGTATTGCTGTGCATGTAACCTACAGTATTTTTCATTCTCTAAATGAGCACAAGAATTCTTAAGTTTGAATCTTCTTGATTTTCTTTGCCAAGCCCACCCACCAGATAAAACCTGCTGCTCCGTTGCCCAGCTTAATTTCCGTAGCTCTGCCTTTAATTTATTGTGCTCCCGCGGACAGCTGGACTTGCCGTGCGAGACGCGGGAGGGGAGGGTGGGTGGACCTCCCTCTGCTCTGAAGCCGTGATGTGAAACCTGCACTACGATGTGCGTGAATGACGTATCTTTGGGTTTATTTTTCTTTGCTTTTCTTTTGGGAAATGTTCCCTTTTTTAAAAAGTATAAATATTCCGTTTTGTATTTTTGTATATTTTAAACTTTAAGAGGAAAAAAAAAAGGAAGAAAAAAAGAAAAGAAAAAAAATGACACGATACTGCAATTTATTCTCAGGTATTCTCACACATCTCAGGGATGGAAGAATCTCGGCAGCTCTGGGGCTGAATGGATCAGCGTTTAACAGCACAAAGAATAAGAAAGCCTCTTTTTAAAATTTGTAGCTCTATCTTACAGTCTCTGTGTGTGAGTGGATTGATGTCTTTAGATGCTGTGTTTTAGTAGATTTCTTCTTTCCCCTTTTCTGGATACATGTGAAGGTAAAAGTATTTGTGGTGCAGTTCAGAGGAAAGGGCTCCATGCAGAGACCCTTCTGTGTGGCTTCCCATCTTCTTTTTTCCCCAAGGGAGCTTAAGCTAGAGGTCTCCCCGGGGACTGTGCCTATGGACCAACAAGCCAAAGGAAAGGACAGCCCCATGGCTGTGCATAATATAGTTAATGCAATTTGTACCCTAGCATAGTTTCTGTGCCTGGTGGGATCCCCTTAAACCTTTTGGCTTGTTTGTAGTCATTTCTGCATCTCATCACTAGCAGAATTTCTTGTTCCACACTCGTGAAATTTAGAGTCCAGGCCCATATGGTACAGATCCTACACCTGGCAGAGTTTCATGTAGTCTTCAGGTTCTGAGAGTCTAAGAATCTGAGTTAGGAACAGGGAAAGTCTGCAAATCTAATGTGGTCAGAAGCACTGGATGCCTCTTGCGAGTAGAGAAATGTATTTACTGCCTCAAGCAGATCAACGAACATTCCCACTCATCCAGGTCAGGATGTCTTGTATTCCAAGCCCCACAAAACATTTGAGACAGATGAAAAAATCCACATCTCCTTTCCACATTTTTGTCAGGAAAAAAAGAGAAACAAATAATGTTCTATTTGCTGCCCTTTCACTCTGCCCCAGATCCCTAAATTAAGGAAGTCACCTGCTGAATAGTAGGACTGGCTCTGGTGGAGATGACATTGCAAGCAGGAAGGGTTGTACAAAGATGGAGGGCTAGGTTGGTTAGGGCAGCAAGTGAGAACCTGTAGTATTGCAGATGTTTGATAAATTACATCTGCCAACATCCCTCACTATTAGCTATGCTGGCTGGGGCATTGAATTGTAATTTGGCTGCACCCAAGTTCCCAGATTTCTTCTCTGCTTGCCTTAGGAAGTTGTGTTGGATCTGCTCCTTGGCATCCAAGTAACCAGCCTTCTCGCTGCTGCTAAGAGGTGAATTTAATCACACAGCACTCTTAAAAAATTTAAGTGGAACAGACAAAATCTAAATGTCTTTGGGGGACTTACAGAGCTGAGTAATACAATTCAAGGGGTGTTGAATAACTTAAACCTTCCATGTAATTCCTCCTCCCTCTCACCCATCAGAGAAATAGTGGCAATGACTTAGTGAGAAATATGCCAGTGGTTAATTTTGATGTGTTACTGTGAGGAACCTACCATATCTACCTCAGGATCATTTTTGGTGTGAATAGGTGTCAAATACAATAGAGCCCATTAGGTTAGATATCTTGCTTTAGATTGGTCAAAGAAGGAATGCTTCCCTAGACTGTGCCCAAAATGTAGATTGTGGCACCTTGTAGTTTTGTATCTGCCTTTATTAAGAAGAAAAAGAAGAATCAAGTGACATTGTTCCCCTTTCTAGATGTTTAATCTGTGTAAATATCTCATGTAACGTCTGATTTCTTCCCAATTTCTTCTTGGATTATTGTTTACAAACTTAAGAAAAATAGCCAAAGCAGAGGATGGTATTTGCACCAGGGAAATGGGGGTGAGATTCCCTCTTTGTACTTTATTGTAATTCTGCCAAGTGAGAGCTGGTGAAGTCCCCTCCCCCCCATCTCTCTTGCAACGGAGATCATTGGATTTCTGTGATAACAGTGATTTATCTGTAAGAGTGTTGGATGGAAAAGAAAATGATGTTTTGGAACTCATTGTGGTGAGGTTGGATAGCATCAGCAGCAGCTTTTTGGCGCTCTACTTTTCAAAAATTGGAAGATGTGAGATAGAGATCCCCAGTTTCGGTTGTTGAAAAAAAGTCTTCTTAAAGTCCTTTGGCTCAGTTTTACAAATAAATTGCTGTTTGGTGCAGGGAATGAGAATACAATTTCGACAGCGGTGGACACTATGCATAAAGAGTAAACGGTGTGAATGGCAGGCAGGGTAAAGCCATGTCCGCACTCAGGGTCATTGGGGTGTGGGGGAATTTGAATGTACTGGGGCTGGGTGGGAGTGGGGGTGGGGGCAACAGTTTCTCCCATGTTTGTGTCCTGCGAGACAAAACGAATGTAACTCCATGTTTACTGCTAGTAACCAAAGCTTGTTTTGTGTCAGACTCTTGATTTTTAATGAAATGGATGGGTGGGAGGGAGTGGGTGGCAATAAGAGGGTGATTGTTGGGTTCTTGGGGGGGGGTAATGTCTTGGCTGCAGGACTTTGTCCAAATAAGCAGCTTTCCTGCTGATTTATGTCTTGCAGTGACATCAGAAATCCCCAACACTGCATTTTTCTCCCTCCCCGTTCCCATTTTTATACCAGTTATGGAAAATGATGGAAATGAATAAAGATGATGGATAACAGTGTGCTGTGCTTCTCTTCCTTTCATCAAACAAAATGTCCCTTTGGGCCAAGACAATGGTTTTGTTTGTAGGGCATACTTAAATGGATAGGCTGGAGGGGGAGGGCTAAACATCTTGTGTGAACTCCAAAATGTATTTATTTAGAAAATTTATACGGCCATCCATCTTAAATACATAACTGTATGGCTCACAACAAACCACAAAAAATACATTTTAAAAACCCATCAAATGTAAGCATAATACGTCAACCGAGGCATCATAACATACTACATTGTAAAAATTATTGGAGGGCTAGTCTTTTAGCCCCAAACAATCCCAGATTGTTAGGGAATTCAATGCACTCTCTCCTGAATTGTGCAAACTACATCTGAGAAGGTTAACTGTGACATTTAGGCTGCAAAAATCCTCGTGACTGCTTGAAGGCAGCAAAATATAGAAAGCCTTGAACTTGACTGTCACCTAAGACTGTTCCTCAATCTCAGCAACTTTAACATGTGTAGACTTCAACTCCCAGCATTCCCCAGCCACATGTCCTAAGGGACAAACTCCCAGCTTTCTTTGCAGCTGCTGGGAGGACTAACAAAATGGCTGCTAGGGTCATCTGAGGTTGTGTGATGGTAGCATGTAACAGTGAATCGGTTGGGTAGTTTGTGTTATGCAGATAGAGCTATATTTGGGGGGCCCTAGGCTGATTGCTGGATTGGGGCCTCAGATTTATGCAACAGCAATGATGGAAGGGCTACCCTTCCTTCTGCCAAGAGGGCTCCTATCATGCAGTGAGTTGGGCTTCTGATCTCATCAGGTAGATTCACAGGGCAAAGACAGCAAAAATATGGAGATGGATAGTAAAGAATAGTAGCTTCTGCCATTTAGCCTGGAAAAAGGGTCATGTCAGCCCTCCAAGGTAGACCAGACTAGGAAACCAAAATCATGCAAACTAATATCGTTTTATTATAGAGCTATTGTAACAGAATCTTGCAGGACAAAAGTGCTTCTCCCCTTTCCTCCTTTATCTTCGTGAGAACTAGGCAGGGCCTTGTCTGAGATGTTTTCTCAGGTTACAGTTCTGCCCCACGCTCTGGTTTCTTTTATCTGACTATTCCTTGATAGTGGCTCTTCCTCCTGTTCCTCCAGGTTATTCCTTCTGCCCATTGCAGC